GAACATTAAAACGGGCAAGTCTCCTTCATTTATTTCCCCTCACTCCTGCTGCTGATCCGGTAGTGCCGCTACTCTTGCGACCACTTATCCAATTGGTTGAATAGGAATATGAATATTTTGACAATCACTCATTTGATGTTGTTGTTTTTGTTTGTATTCATTGCGTCTTCGTCTGAAAGTACGTTCTATTTTCGAGTCAAACAATTCAAGATCGTCCCCTGAGGTACGGAGCATACAACGAACACTTTTTTTTATAAAAGAAAGTAAAATCAAATCAACTCAAATCAAATAGCAGTTAAAGATAAAATAAACTAAGACTAAAAGTATAGTCCTCCGGCAGCGGCGCAAAAAATTTGTTGCGTTTTTTTATATCGCAAGTGTATGATATCGTAACAAGCAGTATAGTCGACCTTTAAGTCCCGATATCGTTCCCACAGAGACTTTACTTTCAAACTTAATCTAATTTTCCTTAGCTCCTATTTAACAAAAGCAAGTAAATATTTACGATGATTGTGTTTATTTTTTCTTAACTACTTTTGACTAATTAAAAATATAAAATGATTGCAAACAATGGATAATTGAAAATTCAAATATGTGATGAATATTAAGAAATAACAATTTCATCTATTGATCACATTTATTTTTAATTCAAGATTCATAGCCTAATATAAGTAAATAATTATGATGATTGCTCCTATCTACTTTTGACTAATTGAAAATATAAAAAAAAATTGCTAATAATTGATAATTGAAGAAACAAATATGTGATAAATATTAGAGAATAGCAATTTCATCTATTGATCACATTTATTCTTAATTTAAGATTCATAACCTAATATAGTGTTCGATCGAATTCTTCTATTGTATTCAATTTACTCATCTCGAGTTCTCATTGAGCCTATTTAACTAATTCAACTTCATATCTCTATGTGATTCAATTTTAGTTAAACGAAACACTGGTTCTAAGAATTCATATTATGATCGTAATAATTAGTATTGGTATCTCTAAACTTTATACTAATTTACCAAATTTTATTATATGGTCTCAATCTCAAACTCACCTCTAGATTCTTAAGAGACTCACATAATCATCAAATTATTGATCAGGTAATTTAATGCATTAAACTCATAATAAAACCAACACATAAATATATAAATTACATAAATCTTGAATAAAACATAAACGATCACAAGTCGACTAAATTTTTTTCCCTAATATAAAAATTAGTTATTCATATTGTAAAAATTAAAACACGCAAAAGTGAAAAAATATCACCAAAAATTGACGAAACGTGAAAATTTCTAATGTTCGCAGTTTTCTTTCTTTTTCTTTTCTTTTTTCCTTCTTTTCTTTCTTTCCTTTCTCTCAATCCTTTTCTCCTCTTCCTTTTTTCTTCTTTTCTTCTTTCTTTCTCTTTTCTCTTTCTTTTCCTTTTTCCTTTCTTTTTCTCCCTATTTCCTGCAGCAGTCTTCTTTTCCCTTTTTTCTATCTTTCACGTCTATCTCTCTGTATCTCCCTGTATGTATCTTCTAATATATATATGTGTGTGTGAGTGTGTGTGTGTTTAAATACATATAGATTTAATTTGGGCCTCCAATTAATATTTTCAATACAAATTTATTGAGTTCCATTTAACTCGAATTCATTTAATGTAATATTTTCTCTCTATGGTTTTCATCTTTGAATTTCACCATTTTTTCGCCACTTTTACATTTTTTTTCTCCAATTCTTCATTAAACACAAAGTTTTACGTACAAAACACAATATAACATAGATTATGTAGAATTTAATTCAAAAGACAATAAAATATCATGACTTAAGGCCACGAATAAGTGTATAAACTACATTTATCACCGAACATGAAGGGAGTAAAGTCGAACTACAGTCGAATTCGCCACATCCCAGGCTAAAGAGACAATATGTTCATCAAATGATATGAATTCGTCTAAAATACAGTTTGAAATGCAAGGAAAGTTATTAAAAAAAAAAATCCGGGCTGTGGGGTGCTATCATCCCCCTAGTCCCTACTAGGGGCTGTGAGCTACCTGCTCCACTTCCTGCGTTTGGGCGAAGATTAGATTGAAATTAAGGGGATTAAAAGTCTGGTACTCAAAACTCAGTAATTAGCCATTCATTGAGATTCGTGTACCCAGTGGAGGAGCCAGCACCCAGCGAGAGACGAGCTGATTGTCGACGGTCAATAGTCAACGGTTATTACGATCGTTGAATAACTTTTAATATTATTTAATCAAATATTAATAAACGATCGGGCTATTACGATCATTGATTGTCTATGGTCAACGATCAACAGTTTTCTCCGCCCTAGCTGACCTTCGACGCTAGATCATACTTGTTCAGATGATGTGTATATTCAGAAGAGGACTTATAATGCTCCACGGCTTCGTCCTAGGCCTGAGCGAGGGAAGATAGGAGGGTGTCGACCTTCTTCTCATGCTCATGAACTCTAGAACTCAACTCTTTATTTGACGACAGCCAAAACCTTCTCTACTTCATTAACTCGGTGTCTAGCTAAACCTTTGGTTGTACATAATAGAACGCAACCAACACAATTTTAACATCTTCTGTGGCATGGGTTGGAAGAAAACAAGTGTCCAGATAGGAGGACCCTCACCTGCATCATAGCCCTCCGAGTCCATCCGGAGCTGGCTGCCTTCCTCCAGCCCGACCCTAGAATTTTTTTCTCACCTTCCTTTCCGTAGCCCTTTTCTGCCACATTGCTCTTCTTAGCCTTGAAAGGGAGAGAAGACCACTCTTCGTCAGTGCCTAGAAGCAAAGAGCCCTACATGCCAGCCAAGTCGAACTCCATATCTTCATACAACAAAGTTTATTAGAGTATCTCCAAAAGACTCTTTAAAGTTTAAATATTAGATGCTCTATAATCTCGATTTTAAAGAGCTAAAACTTACAATTATTTTACATGAGATTCTTCAAATTAACATTTATGATTAAATGCATTCAAAGTATTTCAATTTTTAATGGAGAAAAATAATATAATAATTTGAAAAAAGATAGTAAAAGTAAAAGATTTAAAAAAACAATAAATATTTTTGGAAATAGTAAAATTAAGAGCCTGTTTGAGCCTCATTATTTGACAAAAATGTATTTTAGAATATTAATTTCATGGAGATGTGTGGTTAAAAAATAAAGAAAAGTTTTGGATTTGCAAGTAATACTATTTTAATAAAGAATATTGTGTGATTGAAAATAAGAGAAAAAAAATGAATTTTGATAATAATGTGGATCAAACAAGGACTAAGTGTTAAAGATAAAAAAAAACATGTCGGAGTACTTAAAAGTTTTTACTTTCTAAATTAATAGATGCTCTCTATATTGTAAAATATGTTCTTTAAAAATAGAGTCTCTTAAGGATACTTTTAAATGCATCGTAAATGAAATAACGTATTGACATTGATAAAATTGACAAGCATTATATACATGCTAAAGACTTCTTACTAAAATATCTTATTTATTGATATCCTTGACCAATGAAATATAAGTACTTATACATATCGGCAAGATTATGTTAAAATGACAGTGTATATAAATTGATTAAGAGGATCTCAATACATGTAAATGAAACAATATTTTATATTTCTCTATATAAATGTATGTATAGCTATTGGGTATAAATTGACAATAAAATATAAAAAATTTAATTTATTTAATTAAAAATTAATCATCTTTGAAAAGTAATCGAAGAGGTGATATGCATTTGGTTTAAATAATAAAGGGATAATAATCATGAATACATATACATGTCATTTAATTATACCCACGTGTGTGTGAATGGAGCAAACAATTATCCATATGATTCGACGATGTAGAGCGGTCTCGTCGACGTCGTCGTGACAAGAAAAATAGATTTAAGCACAAGAAAGATAACATGATAAATTAATAATTTTTAGTACCTTATGCGCTTGTCATAAAATCGAAGAAGATGAAAAAGCATAAGAATATGTGTATGTTCTTTAGTTGGATAGTTTCTTGGTCCTAATGAATAAAATGAAGATTTTATTTTGTATTGAAACGTATAGTATTAGGAAGTGTTATGCCTTCTAATTATATGTCCATTATAAAGGGAAAGTTGTAGCTACATGTTGAGTTTAGAGGCTCAAAATAAAAGTTTATTAATGAAATGGATTTTACAATTTTAGATACACACTAGACAAGAACCACCAAATGGCACTATCTAATATTATATAAATATTTTCTCTCTTCAGCACACTCTCTCACTACACTCTTTCTTCACTTGCACACTCTATAAGGTGGTCTCCTCCTCTCCATAATTCTAGATAATTCTTCAATGGAGGTGGAAGCTGGAAAGCTCTAGAATGAAGTTGGTTCCTGCTCCTCATTGATTCTTCTAGTATGTTGGCTGCTATTGAATTCTCTAGAAAGTTGGTGATGATTCTTCACTATATAATTAATTAGAATGTCAATTGACTGATTTCATTATTCAGTCAAACCTTAATTTCATGCTTAATTGTTAATCAAATTAAATAAATAAAATTTAATTAATTATAAAAAAAATATCTAAGGACGAGTTAAGGTTTGATTTACTTAAAAATAGCAAGTCATAAAACTATAATCATATAAATAAAAGAATATATTATACGAGGTAATTTATTTTCATTTTAATAGAATTATATGTACACATTATAATTAACTTTGCTAAGTATGTCGATCGTGTAGGGCGTCACATTCAGTCAACAAATTATAATTAGTCACAATAAACATAGTTATAATAATTAAGCAGCAAATATAGCATTTAGATAGACATGATAATTACGAGAATGAAGCACACGGTGTTACGTAGTACGTACTGTATCTCCACGAGGGCAAATGACATTATAACGAACCTTCAAGTATGAGATTGCTGATAGATCTTTTCTAACATTGTCTTTGTTTTAGCGTTATCCCTCTAACGTATATCATGATTTCATTATCCCTGAAGAGTGAGTTTTCTTTCTCCTTGCAGGATGGCAATGCAAGGTTCAGTCATGGTTATTGGAGTATCTGGACTATTAAGTGCTTCTTCCCCAGATTACAAGTCACTGATTATATATCGTTGTTTTCTCGGATTTGGTGTTGGCGGTGTACATGTATTTCCATCATGGTTCCTGGAGTTCATTCCAGCTTCTCATAGAGGTGCTTATATGCTTGCTATTTCAACTTTCTGGACTCTTGGATCAATATTGGGGGCTTCACTTGCATGGGTATGTCTAATATATTACAAGCATACAATGTCTCCTCAGTAAATGCATAAATATGATTAGCATAAAGCCATCATTCTTGCAGATTGTCATGCCAAGCTTGGGTTGGAGATGGCTACTTGCTTTGTCTTCTATACCAGCTCTCTTGGTTCTTGTCTTATCTAATTTTGCACCAGAGTCTCCAAGATACCTATATACCAAAGACAGAACTACTGATGCAGTGGTAATTTTGGAAAAAATAGCTCTGATCAACCGAATGGAACTTCCCACTGGAATTCTTCTCTCCGATCAAAAAATGGTTATAGATGAAGAAAATGCTCCATCAGACGAAACTCATCTACTTTCCTCGACCGAAAAAAAGAGAAGTTATTGTGAAACATACTTCAAATCTATGCTCGAACTCTTTTCATCAAATTTACTGGGGACTACGCTTCTTTTGTGGCTTTTACATTTTGGATATGCATTCGCATACTACGGAATTATATTATTGATATCCGAGTTGAGCGGTGGACAAATAGAATGTGGCTCGATAACTATCCATTCAAAAAATGCCCAAGATGCTAGCCTCTATATTGACGTATTTATTAATAGTTTAGCAGGTACTACGTCTTCAGCCATTCCCCAAAGAGTACATTCATTTTAACATAATTAGTTGCTAAATTCATTATTCTAATTCTTGCAGAAGTTCCAGGGCTTATTGTAGCAGCAGTTCTTGTGGATCGGTTAGGTCGCAAGCTTACCATGGAAATTCTTACCATTTTAACTTTCATCCTAATTCTTCCACTGCTTACCCATCAAAACGAGTTAGTGACCACAGCTTCTTTATTTGGTGCTCGCATGTTCATTTTTGCAGCAACTTCAACTTTAACTGTCTACACAAAGGAGGTATATTTCAGTGTATCGTTCAATATATTATCGTTTATTTAACCTTGGGATTTCATTCATTGCTCGTATCGAAGAACATTCTAAATTACTAGGTAGATGTAACAGATGGGAGACTAGGCCTTTTAGATACGTGTTACAAAAGAAAACTACTCGAGAAGTGTTCGTAATCCGAGAAACGGAGACAACAACAGTATTTCAACAGAAGTATTTATGAGTGATTTTTAATTAGGATCCATGAGCGAATTAAGCAAGAGTACGAGAATTGGAAGTAGTTAATTACAGGCCTACAACTACAACTCCAGCATTGGTGATTCTTTCCTTTGCAAACCAAGTTGACTCATGAAAAAATTGCAGTGTTGGGGTCCCTACCTATAGAGATCTTACCAACTTCGCCGTCAACTTTTCGAATCAGTAGCACACTACTTGTGGAACATGTGTGAAGCAATGGTAAAACATTGATTAGAAAGTAAAACAATGTACATTTTAGCTAGTCCCACATTGATTAGAAAGTAAAACATTCCTAGCAAGTTAAACTATAAATAGAATGTCTCTCTTGTAAACAAATTATACCATTCAATACAATTCTATTCTCTTTGTATTGTCTTATTTTCTCTCTTATTTTCTCTTTTAAATTCAACTTGGTATCAGAGCTACTATTCTTAGTGGTTTTCGATATATCAAGAGTTGAGTATGCTCTGTCATTGTCACTATTAGTGGATCATTCACATTAGAAAAACTTCTTGTAGATCCTCGTCATACTTGTTGGGTAGTCACTATAGTTGGAGTCTTATTCTCCATCGACGTCATCTCAGCCACCACTCCATCAGTGCAGCTCGGTTCCTGTTATTATTATTTTTTCTTCGTCCTCCTCTAGTTTCGTTCACATTATGGAGCATCTTGAGACTTCACAACTCATTGTCATTATCATGGAAGGACTCAACTACACCATATGGGCTCAGGCTATGTCAAGCTTTCTTAAGGGCAAATAGCTATGTGCTATGTCACTGGTGATATCTCTGAACCAGAGAAAGTCGTTGGAGAACACAACACAAAATACATAGACCATCTCAAAGAGTGGGATAGCAAGAACCACAAATTATCACTTGGATTAACAAACACATGTGTATGCTCCATCAGTCTCCAATTTGGTAGATTCAAGACTGCCAAGTTATTATGGAATTTTCTACATAAACGCTACACCACCGCAGATCTGTCTCATCAATACCAACTTCTGGGTACTCTACATTGTATGCAACAGCAACCTGGGCAATCCATCAATAGTTTCTTATCTGAGATGCAATATGTTCAGGGTCAACTTGCTTCCCCAGAACCAGAGTTTACAGATGCCAAAAATGCTAAGAAATTTTTCGACTATCGAGTCAGCAACACTTGGTTCTCTTTCTCATGGCCCTCACTAATGAGTTTAAGCATGTTCGTGCATCTCTCCTTCACCGCAATCCCTCACCTACTTTAGATCAAGCTGTTACTGAACTTATTTCAGAGGAAACTCGTCTTGCCCCTCACAAAACAACCTCTATAGATGCTGTTTTCACCACTCCCAAAGGACCTCAACCCAACAACAAAGGGCATTCATCTGGATCTTTTCAACACAAATGGCATCCATCTGGATCTTCAAAATTCTGCAATTACTGCAAGAAACCAGGACACACTCTCTTGGAATGCCCGATTCGAGTTTGCCAATTCTGTCAGAAGCAAGCCTCAGGTCATCTTTAGCGTGATTGTTTTCAAAACCCCAACAAACACTTCCAGTAATACATGTCTCGCAGTACTCTATCTAGATCTAACACCACTACAGCTGAAGGTTCATCATTCACTACTTCTAGTGAGACGTTTTCTGCCTCTAACATAGAAGAAATTGTCAAACAAATCCTTGCTCATTCTGGTAATATACCCTTTACTGCTATGTCAGTCACCTCAGGTAATTCATCCTGGTTCTTCGACTCTGCATGTTGTAATCACATGACACCTGATTCCACTCTATTTGCCACCAAACATCTTGCTAATCATGCTCCGACTATTCAAACTGCTCATGGTTCTTCTAGGATTGCGAGTCATATCGAAAAAATATCGATATTAAACACTTCTCTTCCTGATACTTACTGTATTCGCCAACTCACTCTCAATCTTATATCTGTTGGTCAATTATGTAACTTCGATCTAACTGTCCTCTTTTCTGCTTCTGGTTGTTGTGTTCAGGATTCAAAGACGGCACAAACTCTTGGGATAGGCCGTAAGGTTGGACGACTCTTTGAGCTCATCAATCTTCAACTTCCATCCCGTTTCTCCTCATCAGTTCAAACAGTAGCTCCAGTCTCATCTACCCCATCCATCAGTCTCTGGCATTCTCATCTGGATCATGCTTCTGTTGGTCGTCTTCAATCTTTAGCATCTAGTGCTCATTTAGGACTTATTACTTAAAAACAATTTGATTGTCTTCCTAGTCAACTTGAAAAAACAATCGGCATTGCCATTTTACAAAAGTGATTCATTTTCTTTTGCACCATTTAATTTAATTCACTCTGATATTTAGGACTCGTCTCCCTCCCTCACAATGGGAGGCTCTAGATATTTTGTCATTTTTGTTGATGATTACTCTCGTTAGACTTGGATATTTCTTATGCGCAATCAATCTGAATTACCTTAGTTGTACTTTAATTTTGCTACCATGGTCAAAACTCAATTTTCTTGTAATATCAAAGTATTTCAATGCTGATAATGCTGCTGAATACACAAACTACAAAGTCCTTAACTTTCTTCACCAACATGCCACCCTTCCTCATCGTTCATGTCCAGGCACTTCTCAACAAAATGGACATGCTGAACGCAAATATCGAGACATTCTCAATACCGTCCGTGCTCTTCTCATATCCGCTTTATATCCTGAACGCTTTTGGGGTGAAGCTGCTCTTACAGCTGTTTATACCAAGAACCGTGTGCCTTCTTCCATCACTGGGAATCAATCACCATTTGAACGTCTTTATGGTCACCCTCCTGACTATAACACTCTTAAGGTATTTGATTGTGCCTGTTTTGTTCTTCATCAGCCTCATGAGCGCACCAAATTGGAATCTAGATCTCGATTATATTGTTTCTTAGGATACAGTATTGAACACAAAGGCTACAGATGTTGGGATCCTTACTCCAAACGTCTCCGAGTATCTCGTCATATTATTTTCTGGGAACACAAGATGTTCGCCTCCATATCCACGTTTCACCTGCCGCACGACAACACCTATCTTCTATTCACTGATCTCTCCACAGATCTTTTTCCTGATACTCCTAAGACAAACTCTTCCTCTGAGTCAACATCTCCACCAACACATCCTCTCTCTCTCTCTCTCTCTCTCTCTCTCTCTCACAGATATGTCATTACCAACTGACATGTCTACAGATCCCTCAATTGAGTTATCCACCTTACCCTCTTCTGAAGAATTTGTCTCTTCCGATGGATCCGCTCCAACAGCTTCCGATCTCCCTACTCGATGAAGTGACAGGGTAAAAATTCCTTCTGTTAAGTTTCGTGACTTTGTTGTATTTTCTACTATTCTTTCTCACCATGAACCTCAGTCTTATCGTGAAGCTAGTTCTAATCCTCTTTGACAGAAAGCAATGAATGATGAACTACGGACACTCGAAAACACTCATACCTGGGATCTAGTGGATCTACCAAAGGGCAAACATGCTATGGGATGCAAGTGGGTCTACAAGATCAAAACTCACTCTAATGGGTCCATTGATAGGTACAAAGCTTGCTTGGTAGCTAAAGGGTTTACCCAGGAGTATAAGATTGACTATGAGGAGACCTTTACCCAGGTTGCTCGCCTTACTTCAGTTTGCAGCCTAATTGCAGTTGCCGCCGTTCATTGTTGGGAATTATTTCAAATGGATATGAAAAATGCCTTTCTTAATAGTGAACTCACCGAAGAAGTTTATGTGTACCCTCCTCCTGGTTCTCATCATCTTCCGCATCAAGTCTGCAAACTTCATCGAGCTCTATATGGTCTCAAGCAAGCTCCTCGAGCTTGGTTTGCCAAGTTCAGCACCATTGTTGGAGATTTTGGGTTCACTTCCAGCTCACATGATTCTGCTTTTTTCATTCGCAAAATAGACCAGGGTACTATCCTTCTTCTCCTCTATGTTGATGATATGATCATCACGGGTGATAACACATCTGTAATTTGGATCTCAAGACTTATCTTAGCCAACATGTCGAGATGAAAGATCTTGGAAAGCTTAGTTACTTTTTGGGACTTGAGATCACTTCTAACTCTGAGGGATATTATCTTCGCAAGCAAAGTATGCTTCTAATCTTCTTACTCGAGCGGGACTCACAGATAGTAAGACACTTCTAGAGCTCAACTCTAAACTCACTCCAATTGATGGTACACCTTTGGATGACCCCACCTTGTTTCGCCAGTTGGTCAGTAGTCTTGTTTATCTTACAGTTACTTGCCCTAACATCTCCTATGATGTCCATATTGTCAGTCAATTTCTCTCTGCTCCTTGCACATCCCATTATGCCGTAGTACTTCGGATTTTCGGATACATCAAAGGGACCCTATTTTATGGTCTCAATTTCTCATCCAAATCTTCACTTGAGCTTCCCGCCTACTCAGATGCAGATTGAGCAGGTAACCCCACTGACCGTAGATCCACCACTGGTTATTGCTTCTTCCTTGGTGATTCTCTTATTTTCTTGGCGCAGCAAGAAGCAAACAATAGTCACTCGATTCAGTACAGAAGCTGAGTATTGAGCCCTTGCTGATACAACTCAGGAACTTCTTTGGCTTCGTTGGTTGCATGAAGACATGGGCGTCACTCATTCTACTTTCACTATCATAAGCTGGGATAATCAAAGTGCTATCCAAATTACTCACAATGATGTATTTCATGAACGCACAAAACACATTGAGATTGATTGTCACTTTATACGTCATCATCTCACCCGTGGGACTATTGGACTATTATCAGTTTATTCAGCCGATCAAACTACTGATATCTTCACTAAAACACATCCTCCTGGATGCTTTCAGGATTTAGTTTCCAAACTCAAGTTGGTCTCCATTTTACCTCATTGAGTTTGAGGGGGGCTGTTAATGTATATACATATATACACAATGTATATTTTAGTTAGTCCCACATTGATTAGAAAGTAAAACATTCCTATCAAGTTAAGCTATAAATAGAATGCCTCTCTTGTTAACAAATTACACTATTCAATACAATTTTATACTCTTTGTATTGTCTTATTTTCTCTCTTATTTTCTCTCTTAAATTCAACTATAGGTATATCCAACTTCGGCACGAGGCACTGGCTGTGGACTTTCAACCTCTGTGGGAAGAGTTGGTGGTATGGTATGCCCTCTGGTGGCAGTAGGATTGGTTAGGGGTTGCCATCAAACAGCTGCAGTTATTCTGTTCGAAGTTGTAGTATTTGTCTCTGGATTCTGTGTCCTGCTCTTCCCAGTCGAAACCAATGGAAAAGACTTGACAGATATTGTGAGTGTGGAATAGAGAATAAGCTGGTTTAGATGCAATGAGACGTTCGTAATCACAGATACTAATGTTCTTCCATTTGTTTCTTTCATGCAGAACTTTCATAACTGTAAACTGCCTGTTTTAACATGGTTTCACTGAGAATTTAAATGGAATATTATAATTTTATCGATTAAACATAATTAATTTATTAATTTTGATAATAAATAAATTAGTTAACCTCTTGAATTCCTATTGACGTTTGATTAATGGAGATAATTAATTAATTAATTAATCTCTTGAATTTTTCATTTAACTTTTCAGACGTTGATTGATTGAGATAATAAATTAATTAATTAATCTTTTGAATTTCCATATTTAACTTTCAGACGTTTGATTGATTGATTTTAAGTTTGCAAGTGGATGTTTCGGTGAGTGTTTACTAAAAAAAATGGATCTTACTACATGTACACTTTGAATTACACTTTGGATTGTTCGGGCTCACCCCCTCCCTCACAATGGGGTTGGATCCCACGCATTTATTGGATGTACGACCAGACCTCCATGTGAGGGAGGATGTGGAATCGAGTAATCCAAAATGGTTGAGTAGCATAATTCAAAAAAAAAAAAAAAAAATTCACAAGTTCATTCTTACTCAATTTTATATATGGACACTACATTGTTGAAAGAATTTCATTTTTACAAATCACATTTTCAGATTATTTTGGCATCAATTGATGCGAGAATACATAGTGAGTGATAAATTCTTGTTTTTCTTGATATTTATATATTTGTGGTATGAAATACTTCAAGGCTTTCGGGTCGATTTCTATGTTAAATTTTTCGTGATAGGCCGTTAGGATATGTAAATTCTACTGGATATATGAATTCTTAAGAAATTTTTTGAGCTATTGAATATCAAGACTAGTTTGCTCTAAATCTAAAAATGTCGGTATATTATGTTATTTTATATTTATATCATGTTAAATAAGAATTTGCACGTAATTTAACAAGTGTTTTTCAAAATACTCACTCTTACAATAATTTTCAGATTAGAATGAGTCATGTGGATGAGTAGAATATTGACCGAGTAATGTTTATAGGATCGCCAGTAAAATTTCTAGAAATAATAATTGTCAATTTTTTTTTTTTATTTGAACACGTTTATGTTAAATTTTGTGCCCGTTATTTTAGTAATTTTTTTTGTCAATTTTTTTTTTTATTTGAACACGTTTATGTTAAATTTTGTGCACGTTATTTTAGTAATTTTTTTTTTAGTGTTTGCACATTTGACATTCTGTATTAAATTTAAGTTGACAGTTTGAAATCATAGTATTTCAAAATTTTATGTAATATGAAAATTTTCATTTAACTTGTTAATTTAACATTATCGATTTATCGATCAAATCTCAAAATGTGAATAAAAATGAATTTCCACTTAAATTGGATAAAAGATGATTTTTGGTAACACTGTCTATTTTTAAAAAAAAAAATTAAAATGAAAAAATAAATTTTGGGGCATTACATACCTCACATTGAATTCTAAATGCATAATTTTCTTTATTTTTCTAGCATAAATCTTTGTTGTAGTATACATAGTCATGTCAACTAGGGGTGGGCAACAAGTAGCCCAACCCGCTCAACCCGTCTGACCCAACCCAAACCGACCGGGTTGGGTCGGTTTTTTTTTTATTTTTTTTTGTTGGGTTCGGGTTCGGGGCGTTGAAGGCGGATCGGGTTGGGTCGGCTTGCGAGTTAAACCAAAAAACCCGACCCGCCCTTCATATTTTAAAAAAAAACCTTAAAACCAAACCCGACTTTTCACTCCACTCCTCATTTTCTCCGACTCCCTTCATTTTCTCCTCTCAAATTATCGATTTTAGGACTCATGTAGATAGAGTGAGACGGGGATTCTAGATCTCGTTTCAATTTCTGGTTTACAGGGTTGAANAAGTGCGTATTTACACATGGGTGTAATGAATTCATGGCACTGCATTGTGATGGACCCACTGAAATTGTATGTTTAAACCCTAAATCTTAAATGACTCCAGTGGAAATAAGTTGGAAATGTATTTCTAGTAGTTGTAATTAGAGATTCGGAATTGCTATATACATAGAAAAATGTAAACTATTGGGAGCATTTACAAAATCAGGAGTTCTTTGTCTTCATTTTGTGATTACAAAATTATAATTATCAGAATGAAAAATTCAACATGTGTATCTGAGTTACTCCTCTATTTTACACGTTTCCAGGTATAATCAAAAACTTCTTTAGTTATGTTTACATTATATAAATGTTGTCAAATATGTTATGTGTTATCAAATATATCAAATATGAAATTTATTGATATTGAAAAACTATTAATGTTGCTTTATATTCAGTATTTTGGTAAAAAAAATCAAAATTTTGGAACTTTAATATTTGTTGAAAGGTTGTTCCAACCCGACCAAACCGACTCAACCCAACCGACATTTGGTTGGGTTGGGTTGGGTTGGGTTTCAATTTTTTTCGTGGGTTGGGTTGTGTTGAATTTCTATCAAACCGATCGTATTGGGTTGGGTTTGGGTTGGAACAAAAACCGACCCAACCCAACCCACGCCCACCCCTAATGTCAACGAGTCGAGCCGAAACTCAAAACTCGGGCTCAGCTTGAGCAAAACAGGTCCGAGGTTTTTTGAGTTCGAGCCAGGCCGAGCAAAAGCTCGACAAAAAAAATGAGGCTCAGCCCGAGCTTTCGGCTCGACCCGACTCGGGTTTTTTTTTTTAAATTCGTTATAAATCTATAATTTTTTATAATGTATTTAAAATTTGTACAATTTGTACGTATTATAAATAATAACTAAATATTAATATATAAAAAATATATCTAAAATTAAAAAAAGCTCGGTTCGGCTCGGCTCGCGTCACAGGCCGGTGACAAGCCCGAGCTAGCTCGGCTCGATGCCATGGGCCACGAGTCGGCTCTGCTCGAGCTTTTTCCAAGTCGAGCCTGGAGCCGCTCAAGCCCCCGAACTTTTTTGACATTGCTAAGTATACACCAAAGTTGTCATAGCAAAATTATAGTTATAACTTCGCACAATACCTTAATAATTTAAATATTCTTTAGAATGTAAACAATTTGCAAAACCCGCAAGTTTTAATTTTTAGACTAATTTTCCAATTAAAATAATAGAATCCCTCACTCTTTTCTGTGAGACTTGACAACCTCTCATAAACACAAAAAGTTAATTTTTAGGACTAATAAGAATTTCTTTTCAAAACTACTCTCATATTTTCAAGATAATATTAATAAGTAGTGCACACAATTGACAATGATTCACTATTCAAACACACCAGTTCAAAAAAAATTCTGGCACATCGAAAAACCTATTAAAAAATTCATTTAAATCAACATAATATATATAAATTACAAAATACAATCTAGATTCTCTGCTTTAAATTCTTTCACGTGTATTAAAAATTTACTATTTTAATGTTGCACAAATATGTATTAAAAACGTAAATTAAAAAATAAAAATAAAAAACGTGTAGAAGAATATGTGATCACATCATCAAGTACATGCAATGTGAGCATCAGTATTTTTATCACAACCAACATAATCAGCTACTTCTAACATAGCGATGTCAAAAAAGCTCGGCAGCCCGAGCTCGACCCTGAAAAATAAAAGGTTGTATTTCCTACATATATAAAAAGAGCGAAGTTCCATATCACTGTAGAAACTATCGTCCAAAACGACGTCGTTTTGATTTCCCCCTTTTTTTTTTCAGTCGAGGCGGTCATTTCTTCTTCCTCTATCTTCTACATTCCTTCAAAGAGACTTCTAGAATACAACAGCGAAGAGAGGAGATAGAGTTGGAATCGACGAGTCCAAGGAGCGGGAGACTCTCTCGTGCACCACAGAGATAAACGCAAAGAATTTATCTCCGCCCCTTTCTTCATTACTCGTTATTCTGAGTTGTTTGATTTATCTGATTTTAATTGAAATACTAGAAAGACGATGCTAGAGAAAATTGGGCTACCCTCAAAACCATCGCTTCAGGGGTATAATTGGGTGACTGATTCCTCACATTGCCAAGGATGTTCTTCACAGTTTGCTTTCATCAATCGAAAGGTTCGATTGCTTATGTTCGCGATTTCTTTACAGTGTTCTTGATTCTTCAAATTGTATTTCTATGGGGTTCTAAAATTGACAGGTAGATCTTGGTGCGTGAAAATGTGATTATTTAGTGATGATTTTGCAATTCTCTTTATACAAATATTGAAAAATCGGTTGTTTGACTTTAATTTTCGATCTTGATTTTCCAGTTTATGAATATTTCGTGATTTTAATATGAATTAAACAGATGTTTTTTTAAATACCTCAAAGTAAGCTTTACTTGATGTGGTTGAAGCTATGCTGGTGGCTAATAGTCTTAAAATTTCTCGAAAATCTGCTAATTTCTCTACGCGTTTTGGTCTCGACAAGGAATGGACTAAATAACCTCCAATGATGTTCTTTCTGAGTAATAAATATATTTATATACTCTGTTGTGCCAGTTCGCACTTTTGGGAGAGAGGATGGATAGTTGGGTGCCTATTTTACTTTGATCATTTGGGTCTGAGTTGACGTGGGAATTGGTTGAAATGTGTGTTTGTGCGCGCGCTAGGGGTGCCTATTGAATCTGGTTAATTGGGTATGTGTGGATTTGGGAATTTGTATGAACTGGATGTGTATATGTGTGTGTGTGTGTGGCTATGTGCCTGTTGAGTTGGATTAACTAGGTTTGGGTGGATGTGGGAATTTGTAGGAATTGGATGAGATGAAGAAGCGATTGAAGGAAATGGAAGAGGAAGCTCCTGCACTTCGCGAAATGCAGGCTAAAGTTGAAAAGGAGATGGGTGATGTTCAAGGTCTTTTCCTTTCATTTGCGATTTGTTGATTCTGTTTTTAACTTAAATCTTGTTCTAATGTTTTTAATTATAATGAGTTAAGAGCAGTATTTATATGATGGATATGATTGCTTATTTTGCTTAGAAAGTATTTTCAACAGACGAAGAGATTAGGAGTTTGAAAAGATTTGGAGTAAAACAAATACAAGTGCACATAAATTTTGTTTCAAGTAATAAATCAACTGTAAGAACGTCTAACTTTGTAATGGATGGTGGACTCCTTATCTTTTTAATTTAATCAAAGTATATTCCCAAACCTGTTTTTCTGTAATTCAAGACATATGTAAAATCTATTATTATCATTTCTATAGGCCCTTTAGATGATATTGTTGTTATTGTGCCCTTGTTTCCTTGTTTGGAATGTTATATTTTTAGCTCGTGGTTATCATGTTTGCATTTACTTATTTGTTTCCTTTTTATTTTAGCTGCTTGCTTTAAGCTACTTTCAGTATTTATGTTACAACACCATATGGAGGGGCAATGCAGATATTCAATAGTATATTCAACTCAAACATTGCATTTAACTTGAGGAAAGATGATGATTTGGATTTTCCAACAAAGTCGAAACGTACTCCTAAAATGTAATTGGATATAAGAAGTCGTGTTGTTGAGATGTATCTAGCCGTATATATCTTTGGATTTCCTCCTTTTGAAATTTTATTTGAATTAAAGTTAGAAAACTTTTTTGATTTATCACCCCTCACCACATGCCTATTTTATTTGAATGCACAATTTTCTTTTTAGGAGACGCTACTGTGCATTGTTAAAGTTGCGTATGGTGACACCAATTTTTGACTACTTCCCCCTTTCGTGTTTGCATGGGAACCTGTGTGACGAGGCAACGCATGGAAATATTCACCGTGGAAGAACAAGACATTCTTTCAGATGTTGAAACAATTATGAAAAATATCAGAAGAATTATGAACCAAACAATGTAATTTCTTGATTTTATTCTCAGCCTTCAAATTATAATATTATTTACAGTTTTTGGTACTTCTGGAAATAATGTTGCGTGCAATAATAATATGTAAACAAAGAAAAATATACACTCCATTATTTTTTTTCATGATTAATGAGATTATGTAGTGATACACCCCAGTAGAAAAGAAAATTTATATAGCCGAACTCAGATTTATTGAAAAATAAGAGTGTTTCATCGTAGTTGTCTATAATTTACAAAATCGACGATATAGGCTGGAGAATTCTTAAAAATTGTATATTTGGATTTATGAACCGATATTTAGCATTTTTTATGAATGAGTTTCTTCCATCATGTTATTCTCTTGAAGAGGTTTAAAAGAAGAGGAAAAAAGCGATGAATTACTATAGCAAAACGCCTTTGATTCATTTGTCTACTGAGATTTTGGGATTTTGATTTCTTGTTAGGGTAAACTGAAAAAATATGAATATGAAATCTAACTAAGTAACTTTTGTGTGAAGGTACCACGATGGTGATCCTATATCAGGGGATGATCAATCATACATGGTGGATAATGTGTTGAATTACCATCCTGATCAAGCTGCAAAGATGGGAGCTGGATTAAAGCATATCGTGGAAAATAACAGAGTCCGTGCATCGCACGGGCCAAACCTAGTGATAGTTATAAACATAAGAAGCAATATATGCATTGGCTAATTTCCTATGAGAAATTTGAAAAAGGTCGTTATTGTGTAACAGATTGTAAATAAATCTGTTTGGTAGAGATTAAAATCGAAAGTTAAAATCAACAATTAATTTTAGCCACAAATTTTATAGACCCCACAACTTTTCAACAACATACTTCATCAATTTTTATTAAAATTTGCTAAAAATATTATTTTAATCCATATCAAAGCGGGTCTAATGATCTTTTCACCTTTAAATGATTTGTTTGATCATTTGACCCAACCATGGGAATGACACACAAAGAAACATAAAATGCATAAATTGATACAACGTTTTATATCAACTTCAAGCGCAACATCATCAATTCTTGAGGCCAACGCAAAAGTTCAACATTTGGTCACAAAAGGAATATATGGCCAAGCCCTTGCATTCTACAAAGAACAAGTCCACCCCTTCCCTGCAAACTCAGCCACGACCTTCATTCTTCCGTCAATCATCAAAGCCTGTGCCCATTCTCAAACCCACCAAATTTTGGGCCTTCAGGTACACTGCAATGTCCTCAAAAATGGGTTTGATTCTGAATCTACCGTCTCAAATTCCCTCATCTCCATGTACGCAAAGTTTTCAGACACAAAGAGCTCGCACAAGCTGTTCGAAACTATGCCTCATAGAGATACCATTTCCTGGAATTCCATGATTAACTGCTATATTCAAAATGGGTTTTTCTTGGAATCATTAAAGATGTTTAAGGAGATGTATATGCCTGGTTTTGTACCGAAATCTGAGCTAATTGCCAGTGTTCTCTCAGCATGTGTTAAAAGCAAGTCTTGGAGGTTAGGAAGAGTAATACATGCTCTTGTTATTGTTGATGAGAGAATAGAGAAATCGATTTTTGTGTTGTCTACATTGGTGGATTTTTACTGGATGTGTGGCGATTCTGATATGGCATTTCGTGTTTTTGTTAGAATGGAGGAGAAAAATGAAGTCTCGTGGACTGCTATGATCTCTGGATGTGTTAATGATCAAGATTACATGAAGGCGCTTGATTTATTCGGTGAAATGCAGGCAAATAATCTCAAGCCTAACAGAGTGACTTTGATTAGTATATTACCAGTTTTTGCTGAGCTAGGCTCAATAAAGCGTGGGAAAGAGATTCATGGGTTTGCTTTTCGACATGGTTTTGATTCAGAATCTCGTTTTTCAACAGCGCTTGTGCACGTTTATTCTGAGTGCAAGGGAGCATCGCAGTATGCTAAGCTTATTTTTGATAAGTGCACGAGGAAAGATGTAGTGATGTGGAGTGCTATGATTGCCGTCTATTCGCGTAGTAAAGATTGTGCTAGAGAAGCTATTAGGTTATTTGGTGAAATGCAGATGGAGGGAATTCGACCCAACAGTGTTACTATATTGGCAATGATTTCTACATGTACTAATCTTCTATCACTAAGCGATGGTCATGGAATCCACAGCTACACTTTGAGGTGTGGCTTGAATTCCAACTTGTTTATTCAAAATGCCCTTATTAATATGTATTCGAAGTGTGGTAGTCTTGAAGATTCTGTTCAAGTATTCGAGGAAATGAGAATAAGGGATTCTGTTTCATGGAGTGCGATTATTGGCGCATATGGACTTTATGGTTATCCAGAGGAAGCTTTGCGACTCTTCTACGAGATTCAAGGGAGTGGTATTAAGGCTGATGCAATAACATATCTTGCAATTTTATCCGCCTGCAATCATGCTGGTTTTGTAGAAGAGGGACTAAAGCTCTTTGACGAAGCAATAAAAGACATAAATATATCTTTAACAATGGAGCACTATACATGCTTTATTGATCTCCTGGGAAGGGCAGGAAAAATCGATGATGCATATGATGTCATAGGCAGAATGCCAATGAAAGCAAACTCAAGAATATATAGTTCCTTGATCTCTGCTTGTAAACTTCATGGGAGATTGGATGTTGCAGGATTGCTAGCTCATGAACTTGTTAGATCAGAACCTGATAGTGCTGCCAATCATGCTTTGCTAAGTATGGTTTATGCTGAATCTGGTAACTGGCTTGGGGTGGAAGAAGTGAGGAGAGATATGAAGGATAGAAAAATAAGAAAGAACTATGGCTTTAGCAAAATTGAGCTAAAAAAAAGGAGTTTGTAATGGGGACTAAACACTTGTAGAGGTGTCCAACAGGCCTAGCTACCATAGGCCAGGAACAGCCCAACCACCAGCGCCCATCTCGGCCCACACAGTGGCAGGCCACGTGAGTCCCGCCCAAAATCATGTGGCCCGTCTCTGCCACCTGCGCTGGGCCAGACAAGAAATGCTACAATGAGAGGGATAACATAATTCCTTGGGATCTCTTTGTGTGTGAGGCACTGGTAGGAGCCCTTGATTTTCATGGCTAAAGGGAAGAATATCTGGCTCTTATCAGTGAACATCAAACCCACCTTTTGTAGCCTTTGATCAAGTTTCTGTCAATTATGTGGAATCTGGTATGTGATTAGTGAATTCCGCTACTACAGGTTTACAATTTTAACTGTATAATAACCTTTGAAATGACTATTTTTTAAACTAAAACCATAAGAATTTATTCATACCTTAAAATTGAATAAAACAAATACGAAGAAACGTAGAATCTAACATTTAACAAATGAAATAGAAAACCAACTAGGCTTCTTATAATTTGTCGACAATAACGTGAACTTCCTGCATATACGTGTTTTAAGCAGTGATAAAGTTGCTTACCACGAGTATTCAAATATGATGAATACGGAACAATTACTTGTGAATAAAATAAAATTTATTTATAAAATCTGATCCTCTTGTAGAATAGTGATTTATTGATGAAAATAAACATGTATGTTTTTATAATGGGTTAAGAGTAGAATAAAAACTTCCAAAGGATCCAGAAACTCATAAATAATTCAACTACACTACACAAAAGATCTGTTTCGTGCATAGCAACACGACTGCAAGAAAGACAACACAATTTGGCATTGTTCATCAATGGTGGATGCAGTTGTGATGCTCTGTCGATCACCATCTCTCACGCAGAAGTCCAATGTTGACTATAGTTTCCCCTGGCAAAAACATACAAATTCTATTAGCTCATAATGATTTATATATCCATTTTTCTTGACCTCTCGTGTGACAAAATATTAGCTATGAAAAAGTGTGAAGATAGAGACAAACATCTAGTTTTGGAAAAAGTGTGTCATTCAAATTAAAATGTCAAATAAATAATGAATCAGTGAATTTATGACCAATGCTTGTTTAAAACATAACACCTCTGTCAAACAAGTAGTCACAACAGTGTGGTGTATTCTTAGACTGGCACAAACAACATACAAATTTGGCAATCATATTTCAAATTCTGCATTAGATTCTTTGTTTCTTGTGCAATTTGAAAAGATCAATGCACATAAATGCACACATTGCAATGTAATCTCACTAAAGAAAGAAAATGAAGCTTTATCAATGGTCAAAATCAAGTTTATCCAAGTCTAAAGGCTGCTGCTTATACCAGTAGAATAGAAGTCTAATGAGCCAGGTTCCACATAGTAGTATTGACGAGCCATTAGTTTGAACCAATGCATCAGAAGTCTCATAGATTATCAATGGCCTTTCCAAAATATTTTCACAGACAAGTCAATTCAATCAACTTTCAGAAGGTTCATAACTAAATGGCAAATTGCAATAACTATATCTCTTGCACCTTCTGTCGGAGGTAACATATTTTAACTCTCTACTTTCATTGGATGTTAATTTAAAGCATATCTCATTCGCAGCCTTGATTAGCTAATTCGTAATCAAACAATAATATTCAGGATGGTCACTAGTGAACACTTATTTTTATTAATCGCAACTTTCAAATGGCAATATAACCAAATATCACGGTAACAATTCACTTTCTACTTACCCTGACTCTTGTCAAATTAAGCACCAAATAAAAAGGACAGAAATGAGAAGGGGCTGGGAGATGGGTATTTATTTTGAAGAAAGTTCTCAAAAGAAATAAAAAGTCAAATGGTTTAAGTAAGCCAATAAGAAAGAGAGAGAAACTCTATAAATGGTACTTCCATCACCAAAAACTATATATGGGAAAAAATAAATCGTAAACATTGAAAACTAATAAGAGAAGAAAAGGCCAAAGATACAGAATGCAAGAGATATAGAACAGAGAACAAGAGGACAAAGAAGAATTGGATATATGAAAATTGTCGATATCACTTGACATCGAATGAATGGTCTTCATTATTCAAAAGACTAGTCTTATCTGTATTTAAAATCCCTAGTACAATTGGGAAGTTCTCTAAAGAACAAAAATGGAAATTTCCAAACTTAATCCTAACATTTATTAAAAGAAATAAAACAAATACAAGAAAATAAAAAAAAAAATCTAATATATTTCCTATTCTTTTGCCTAAAATAAATGTTTATCTTTAGCATATTTCCAGTTTTAATTCCATCACATGCTCCATTACTTTTTCTCCCCCTTGATAAATTAATAGGAGCTAAACTACAAAATCTTTCCAAGGGCAGCGATGTTTATCAACGTTGACCAACATTCTGATCCTTTTAAGACATTGATAATGCTATCAATGGGCAGAAGTTTGGGAATCTGGAATGGAGGACTGGTCTAAAAAAACAAATGAAGGCACCGTGGTGGCTTGAATGTCCCTTGGTAAGGAAACAGATCTTCTATATTGAAACACGACTTACATGATGTTACTGACTTCAACAACTTTTGACCATTTTGATAGGCCAATAGATGAATGACCATTAATTAATAATTAGAAGAATAAACCAACAGATATGTTTCGCACGTATCTTTGATTGCCTTTCTTTCAGATGAATGGAGTATATTTACTGGTTTCTGGGAGATCAACAGGGAGCTGATGGCATTTATAATTTTGTTGGTTCGTTATATGATCTGAAAAGTAGATGTGCTCCCTCTCCCATTGTTTTTTCTGATTAACAAGCAAAGAAATGAAGAGTGGCTAGCCTTCCACATAGTACAAAATTATCATCTCATTTAATACCTTCCAATCTCCCATGATTCTAATATTTTAACATAATCCAATCATTCATTACTAAACTATCAAGCCTTCAGACACCTTAATATAGTACCTAACACGTGTGTGTGTGTGTGAGCACGACAAATTTGATCAGAGATACAGTTATAATGCAGGTATCATCTAGTTGAGTTCAATCAATTCATAATTACCCCAAAATGGGAGGGGTAATCCATGCCCACCATTCTCTACAGTTGATTGCTCTAACCAGCAAACAAATCTCTCTTAGAGACATCTAATTACTTAAAAGCATGCAAATTGGTTGGCAATAATTGCACATAAGAATGCATCAACTTCACTTATTAGGACAAGCATTTTGTAGAGTAACTCGTCGAGTTGAAACCAATTTCACTCATGTAGCAATGCAAGAGCATTCCAATGGATGTGGTCAAGGGTGCATCCCAATTCGTATGGGTAAAATTCAGAGTTCCGTGGGATTATCCCCCATGTAAAGCTGTAGCACCATGATTAGCTTCTTTGATTTCATTATCCACTTCTTTATGGTGTGATTATCATAAGCATTTTCCCTCCTTTCTTTAATTTCCATGACCTTGTAACGAACTCAAGACGCAACTTCTTTTGTGTGCATCTCGTCAATGAACAATTAAAGTACAAATACAAAGTGGAACTCCAGGTTTTGACTTATGCAAAGGAGATTAGCTTCTCAAGGAATTCAATTTAATCCTACAATCAATTCCTTTTTCCTCAATTTCCTTCGACCCCTATAATAATCATAACAACCTAGCAGCTTCCAGTTCATCAATAATCAATTAAAGGAAAAGTACCAAAAAAAAAATTACGTTAAAAATTAACATCTTTCACATTCATCTAATCAACAAGGATTTAAAACAGACTGTGGAAAACAAGAGGTATAAATTAACCTCTTCGGTACTTGAATCTTGAGTTTTAGACACTTCAATTACGGGGGGCGGATAAATTTTGTACTTCTTAAGAATGTCGACAACAAGCCAATGCTTCCGCTTGCTCAGTGGCCTCGTAGGTTCCAACTTTACCTGCAATTACAATTAAGGTCACTATACTGTCATTTTACTTCACACCCCCTTTAAATAACAAGAAGATAAAACAAATAGCACATAAAAATAAATTTATACACACAAATATAAATATATATAGAAAGAGATAGTACGGACGCGGTCGCCGGGGTTGCATTGGTTGTTCTCGTCATGGGCCATGAATTTGGAGGTGCGCGTAACATAGCGGTTGTAGACTTTGTGGTAGAAGAGGCGATCTACCGCCACCACCACTGATTTCTGCATCTTATTGCTTATCACCATGCCCACCACCGGCTTCATTTTTGGCTATTCAAATATCTTGTTTCTCTCTCCCCCACACCCTCAAAATTCTTCACCCCTGGCTAAACCCTAGCTCTTCCATTTACGACGTCGTACCATCTTTTCATTTGGAAGTCAATTGCGTGTTCGGTCCTCAATGATTGGTTTTACTTTGCACTTTGCTCTCGAACTGACGCAGTGCCAACAATGAATTCAAACGAAAACCTTAATAACACGAATTTTGGAATTCACCAAATTATAAAAAATTAAATCCGTAAATTATTGAAAGGTAATAAAAAACAATGAGATAACTATTTATTTATAAAAATTTACACGAAAACATAGTTTAATATGATTAAAATTAATGAAAACCTAATTAAACAAACTAATACCATGTTTGATCCACATGCTTACAAAAATTTAGGGTATGTTTTCTTTACTATTTTCAAGTCGTTTAAAGGAAAAGACAAAAAATTTATAAAGGAAAGACAGAGAATAAAAAGTAGTATTATTGAGGGAAAACAGGGTATATCATAAAAGACCGTTTCAAAAAAGTTAATGACCAAAGGAGTGGATCTAAACATGAGAATAGTTTTTCTGCCATTGATGCTTCCTATAAAGAAGCATAAGCTAATATTAAGGTGGCATTTTTGTCTTCAATTGAAAAGTCTCGTCAAAACTAGGTTTTTTATTCAGTCTGTTCTTTTTATAAGAGACTCAATTTTAGTAGGTTCTCCGATTTCTCAAAACTTGATAGATGTTTTGACAATATTGTTTTGAAATTGGAAAGTGGTCAGTTCATGATGCTAAAACATACTAGGTATGTTCACTGGCGGACCCAGAGGGGTCCTGGGGGGCATGTGCCCCCCACGACTTTTGAGATTTTTTTTTTAAGTCATACTTGATATCGATTGAAATCTAAATTTTAATTTAAATCAAAGTTACCAATTAATTTTAATAACATATTTCATGGAATCCAAAATTGTTTATCTTTTATCAAAATTTACCAAAAAATTGATTTTAATCTCCACCAAACAATAGCAAAATCACAATAAATTTGAATTTCAATAACATGCTAATTTTAAAAAATTTTCGACAACCGTACGTTAATCGAATTTACAAATTACTTATGTCATCTCAAAACTTATTTCAAGAACTACATTATGGGCACATCGAATAGTCCAAACAGATATCGAAAATAGTTAAAAATGCATTAAACGTGA